TGTATCTTACAAAGTGAGAATATAAATCTAGTAGTTAGCATAACATATTCATTATTGGCAAATAATCCGCTTATTCGTATATTTCTATGTTCTCTATTTTTTTTGATTGTAGGATGGTATACAAGAACGAGAACTCGGTGGTATCTTACAAACCCTTCACATCACCTCAGCACGCGGAGGTCCAAGCTCTGACATCGATAGAATATACTCTGGTATCACCACTGGATTTTCAGGAATAATGTCTGAAAATGCTGTTGACTGGGTACGTAGAGAATTATATACTCACATACATACTGAATTCAAAAGATTTAGAACAACAAAATATAAGTATGCCTAATACTAAAAAAATGCTTAATCTGTGATTAACTAATAGTATGTTAACTACTATATTTTTTTATTTTTTTACTCACACTTATGTTATTTTAAATTTTATTATCCCTTTACTTTCTATTTTACTTAACTATGCTTATCTTCTATAGAAAGACTAATGTCAATAAAGTTATCTTAGATACTGAGAACTACGAGCACACACAACAACGGGTACTTAGATACTGAGAACGCTAAGCACAAACAACACCGAGTACTTAGATACTGAGAAATCTGAGTACAAACTGTGTGTTTATTTCACATTCATTCCATATTCGATATTGCGACAACTATAGTAAATGTAAGTATCTGTCACAGTATCGTTGGCATCATTTTAATTGTGTTATTGTTTCTAGGTGAGAGGAATTCGTGGTGTTGCCTACATAGAAGAAGACGTGATGTTCGAGGCACAAACCGCCCCATGGGGCTTAGACAGGGTTGATCAAACAGAGCTGCCTTTAGATGGCAAGTATCAAGTCGGAGGTATGTTCGAGCTTGCTTCTACCTTAGAATTCATGCTCTCTAACGTCAACTTTGTCGCGTGCCAAGTTTGACCAAGTGGGTCGGCATGATCTCGTATACTATACTGTGCAACAAATAACTGGATGGGTGAGATTTGTGACGCATCAAATTTAAATTTGTTTTTGTGTACAGGTGACGGATCTGGAATAGACGTGTATGTACTGGATACAGGAATACGGTACACCCACGATGAGTTCAAAGGGAACAATGGAACCACTCGTGCTACATGGTCTGGTTACGACGCATTTGGTAACGGCAATAACGTAAGTTAATTTTCATTAAATACGTTACTATAAAATAAGTAACATTTCCTGCGTTGACTCTCGTTTCATTAACGGCTGGGTTCTAAGGATGAACTTCACCGTATACTCAATTTCAGGTAGTACTACTGTAAAGGGGGTAATTATTCACTGGGTTTTAATTTAGCTTATTTCGCTGACTGGAAAAATGCGCTAAATTAAAACACAGTGAATATGTAAAATTTAGCATAGAACACATTATCTAAATGACAAAACCATGAATTTAAAACCCACTGAATATGCCTGAAATGGTAAATCAGTGAAATTTAAACCCAGTGAAAATTAGTCATTTTACAGTATTAGGCAGTGACAATACACTTCACGACAATACAATATACAACACCATGTGCTACACTACACTACACTACACTACACTACACTACACTACACTACACTACACTACACTACACTACACTACACTACACTACACTACACTACACTACACTACACTACACTACACTACACTACACTACACTACACTACACAGCACGGTGTCACAATTTACAGCATCTCACTACAACACGGTAAAAAGATATTGCATTTTTGTTAATGTACAGTGCCATGTTGGTTAACCACGCATGTGTTGTTTTATTCTGCAAGGGTGCTGACTGTAATGGACATGGCACTCATGTTGCTGGCATTGTTGGTGGGAAGAATTCGGGAGTGGCACCGGGGGTGAATTTACTTAGCGTAAGAGTTCTAGATTGCAATGGAAAAGGACAAGCGTCTATAATTTTGGAAGGTAAGAATCTGCCTAAAATTGTCCCTTTCAAATACATCAACAACACTTCGTTGTTGCGGCATTGAACTTGGGTAAACTGAGATCCCGGGTGAGACCGCCACGAAATCGCTCTTTTAAATCACGAAATCGTAACTTTAATATACTGGTTTCGTTTACAGGTATGAATTGGGTTCTGAGTAAAATAAAACAAAAAGGAACGGCAAATAAGAAGACGGTCGTAGTGCTGTCGTTGGCCGGTCAGTTTAGACAATCTGTTAATAATGCTGCGAAAAGATTGGTCGAAGAGGGCGTAATCGTTATCGCCGCCGCTGGGAATTACAAAAGAGATGCGTGTCGATACTCACCAGCCTCTGAACCCGAGGTAAGACTGGCATTTCAAGTTCATTTCTTTGCTCGAACATATCTGATAATGGGGTAGAATATCATCAAATTATTTCATCTACAATATATTATCTAATAAAAGAAGGTCAACAATCCCATCGAAGTGTGCTCAATACTGCGTGAGTCTATGAATAGAATAGTGAAAAGTATTTATAGTAATCGATATGCAAATAACTCGACATACTGTCATTCTATATGTTTTGTTCTCAGGTCATAACAGTTGGTGCAACCAAAAATGATGATACGGTGTATAATTTGGGCTCCTTCGGAACCAATTATGGTGGATGTCTGGATATATTTGCACCTGGTCAACACGTACACAGTGCAGCCCACAACTGTGACGATTGCCATCACGTGATGAGCGGAACATCGCAGGCTACGCCCCATGTGGCTGGTATGATAAATATTCTAATTCGAGTTTTTAAACTGAACCTTAGATGACGTGGTTGTTACTTATATTAATTATATACTACTTTGTGGATTTGGTAATGCTGGGTGAATTTGATTTCGTATGAATGAGCAGTGTATTTTACATGCGTTGTACGCGACATACGTGACCCACAAGAATACAAGCCAACACGAAATATTCAGCACCCGTGTTCGTGTTTGTGAAAAAAATCTCTGATCATTCTTAGAATCGTGTAAAGTAGTAAATAGTCGTCTATCGATGTCAAATTAATTACCCCATCTCTCAAATACGCGCGACAAAACACTTATGTGGCATCAAATGGTGTCGATACTAGTAAGCGACAGCGGTGTCGCTAAAAGCGACGATTCTGGTTAAACAGTCTGATTCGTTAGAATATAAATGCACGTAGGCACACTAGGTACTCTAATGATATGGGGGTCTCTGATTGTCAACAGACCGAGTGTTTGGCATGTATGGTAATTACCGTAAACACATATCTTATATCTATACCGTCTGTATCGTGACCAAAAAGTAATCATGTGATCATGTCAGTGTATGCAATCATTGGCTGGCGACGTATTATCCCGGCACGCAGTAATTCTTTCTTCAAAACATTTTTTTACTGACGGTCGAATAGAGATAAAACAAATGTCGCCGAATGTAGAGACCTTCGTCACATATGCTCTACGTGATGCATTATATATAAGTTGTTTTTGTTTAGAGGAAGAATATGACCCAATAAAGCAGTATTGGTGGGAGGAGGATTTTGACTGCTGCTGGCCCGGCGATGTCATCACAGCGTTGCGTTGATGATTATTTAAAGCGGGAAGGTCATCACCTGCGCACGCGCGGGAATTGAGTCCCAAGCTACGAAAACAGCACAAAAAACGCAAAGGCTCATGGGTAGTTTGTTTGTAAACAACGACGCGCTATGGCCATCTGATGCATGCGTAAGTGACGACTCCCAGTAAAACTGAACTTACATTACGGCGATTTGTGTGGTCGATTCGTTACGTTTTAATTCTAAGCTCTTTCCAGTTATTTTAATGGGATTGTCGGATTGTGTACTTATATACTTACTATTATACAACTTTTACTATAATTTTAATAGGTTCGGCAGCCTTGTTGCTACAATCAAATCCGTCATATACACCAGTGGATATACGTCGTCTATTACTCCAACGATCAACCAAAGATAAGCTCGATTTTGGACATATTCCAAGTGTTGCTAGGCCATTGACACCGAACAAGTTGTTGTATGTACCAAACCTAGGGCGTATTATGAGTATGTATACCAAGTTTAATTCACAACATATTTGGTACAGTTTTATATATAAAATACACGTGTAATTATACAATCATTAACAACTGATAAGCTATAGGTTTTAATTATCGTTTTGTGTTTGTTCTATTCTTGCTTATTTTTCATCTCTTTTGGGGTTGCTTTCAGTATTTCGTGTACCATATCTCTTCTTTAAAGCAATCGAGATATGAAAAAAACGGCAAATAAAACCTCAACTTCCTCACCCCAAATTGTAGCCTATAATTACTCCGGATTTCAATCAGAGTAATTGTTACTTTCATATATTTATTTTATTTGAAGTTTTCGAAGGCCTAATATTAATAAATATAACTTACGAGTTTAAGCATACGAAATACATTTCCTTCAGGTGGAAGTGAGAGCGTATTTTGCCGCAGTGTGTGGTCGGCTTTATCCGATAGACATTCCACAGCAACAGCTGTAGTGCGGTGCTCACCCCAAGAAACGATGACGAGCTGTTCTAGTCTGAGCAAAAACAATAACCGAGCAGGAGAGTATATCACGGTAAGTTTTACTTGATTTAATATGAAGTGTAATGTTCATGTTAATGAGTTATTTTAACTTGGACTTCCGTTTTTAAAACGTGGAACTATTTCGTTACAGACATTGAATGGTGCCGATGTATGTGTTGCATTGAATGGCGACGGAACCGGAATTGGCGTATACGCTGTTGCTAGATGTTGTACGTGGCCATCGATCACGTGTTATACAAATACGTCATCAGAATCCACCGCCTCTGATAATGCACGGACTCACTCAACATGTCATAAAAAAGGATATGTACTTTCAGGTAAGTGACCGCATAATACCATTTGTTATTTTTTTCATTTTCGAAAAAAGAAATAATTTCGACAGTGACAGTATTCTTTATCGACTAATTCAATTTTTCGTCTATTACAGGCTGCAGTGCTTATACCACAGGGCACATTATCGATGGTGCAAGGCCGGCGACCAATTACATATCGCCGTTTGCCAGATTACGACCACTGCGTACATGCATAGGCCAGAATGCAGTTGGTGGACAGGGCGTAACAGCCCAGGCCAATTGTTGTAAAGCACCTAATTTAAGATGTAAAACAGTCTGGTCACCAGAATCCGGTACAGCCACGAATAGTGTGGTAAGTGTGTAATCTACTTGTATTCTTGAAGGACAAGAAGCTGATTCAAAATAGCTTTTGTGGTAGCGAATACTCACGCGGGTGGGTTGGTATTAGTTTGTATGCATGTTTACAACTAATGAGCAACTAGACAATTATTGTGTGTTTTTTTTTCGAAGATAAAATAAAGTCGTTTCTTGGACATACAAACAAATATGCCAAAAATACAGTGTCTGACCCTTTAGCAATGCGTCAAAACGTATATAGCCTGGCGCGTAGCGGTAGATATGTATGCGCTTTCAGAATTTTGCGGAGAAATCATATCATTTCGAAGTTCGCGTTTCCGCGAAAACCAAAAAAGGGTACTGACAAATAATAATTACTGATACCTATTCATAGGCCAAGGCAGCAAACATAATAAATAGGCAGTGGAAGGCCATGTCGTTTTGGAAGTTCCACCTGACCAATACACATAACATTTTTACTAAATTAAGGTATTTTTGATATGTCCCAACTATACAAGCCAAATATCTCAAATAATGTACACCATGCTTACA